TGTATATATTTTGGGTTTTTGCGTCTCTTAATTGGTTGTTTGTTTTATTGAAGAAAAACATTAATTGATGACAAATATACCAAGAGGAGAATGCTTAAAGGATAACTCAGTTGAATATTTTAGAGGAAATAGTAATAAATAATCTATAGTAGCAATAGTAGACCATTAGCCAGTTACTCTTATACAATAATATTTCTTAATTTATAAAAATCATAACTTTACTATATACATATATGGCTATAATTTGTTTAATTGTTTAGGTAGACATTCATACGTAAGCGATTGGAATATTTCCTCCTTAACGAGACACTTTTATCAGCACAGTTTTGGACAAAATTTCAATTTAAGTTCTGAATTAGGCCGTTTGTGTTGGCTCTATGGACTGTTTTTTCTAGTTTTATATTTCAATAATTTCCATGAACGTCCGTTCAATGTCATTCATACTCTTAAATTTGCATTTTCTTTGTAAATCCCTAGGCCTACGAACCATTATATGTGAATGTTTTCAAATCGAAAATTGTTCTTGTCTCTCCGTAAAACTGCATGCGTTATTAGGGACCAATCCTAACGTGGCGTCAAATTCAAATTATGACGGAAATTCACGAATGTTTTCCGGTATCCCTCGCCGCCAGATGGGACTATTCATCATAGAACGCACGGTCTTGTTTTCGCAAAAAATGTCTGTCTTACCAACAAGTTCAACTGTTTCTTTCAAACGTATTTTGAACCTAATAAGACCACAACATTATTAATTTTAATCGTAGATATATATTCTGAACAGAATTGTGTTGCATTCCATCATCAATGTTAAAAAGATGTATACCTGCAATTTTATTTATATTATCTCAATACACGTCTATCAATTTGTGTTTACTAACATATGTTATTGTTTATCTAGCCCCTGTCGGCTTGATTAGAAAGCAACAGGGGTTTATCATACCAGTATCATGTTCAAATCCAGAAACATAATTTAGTCTGTAGGAGCATCCTTTAGGAAAATATCAAATAAAAAAATAACAAATATTTAAATATAACTTTTAAAAATTAACATCTACTTTTATCAATAAATTCTGACACGC